CGCTAGAATAGACGAAAGACGCTGCTGATAAGCTTGGAAACGATAAGATTGCACAAAACAGGCTTGCCAAGATGATAACAGACAAAAGTTTGGGATAAAAGTATTGAAAGAAAGTGAAAGATCAATAAGGAAAAATAAATCAGTTTTTTTAGAATAAGCTAACTGAAATTTTGGAAGATGCGGCTGCTAGAAACAATGTGAAAACCTTGTTCATTGCTACTTCCACCGAAATAAGCCCTGTTAGCAACCATGAACAAATAGAACGGTAATCTCACGTCTGATACTGCAGAAGTGGTAAAATGAGGAAGAATGTTCAATCTCTGTTTAGCCTTGATGTGATCTGAAACAAGTTCCGTTGTGTGATATTATGACAAGACGAAAGATGGAGGCCGACCCTTGACGAAATGAATGAAATCTTAAACCAGTGGAAAAATCGTGAAGAAGTTGATAGAATGCAACTAGAACTAAATAAGTAGCCTGTAAAGGAGGAAGTGCTATCATTATTTGATTTCTTTGGATTCGCTTGGCAGAAACGGGCGATTCCAAATGGCTGTACAAACGGTATTGTGGTTCCAATATTCATGATAAGTTGCAGCTCAGATTCAAGTAATTACCGTGGAATCAGCCTTCTCTCCGTTCCTGCTAAAGTGTACATGCATGTCCATTCATGATGAACAGGTTAAGGCAGCTTCTTGAGAGGATCCGAGGGAAGAACAATTCGGATTCAGGAGGAGCAGAGGGTTTTTGATCAGTATATTCCCAATAAACCAGCAAATGTAAAAGAAAGGAAATAGGGCATATAAATTATTTGCAATTTACCCTCATTTCATCAAAGTTTTTGACTAATCTGGACAGAGGTCTTGTTCAAAAGTCGATGAACAGTGTGGAATTCAGCGAAAAATTATTCACATATTTTGAAAGATGTTTGATCTATCGTCAAATGCAGCGCGAATTGGCGGCAGGTTCAGCAAATTATTCGTATAAAGTTGGGAGTACGGCAAGGAATAGTGGAGTTGTCCCCTCTTCCGTTTCGATGGCTGTTGCAACCATGAAGCTGGGGTTAGGAACACTCTCATATCTCTCTTGTATTTGCTGTTGGTGTCATGTTGCTGGAAGATGGATTATAAGCTAAGGTATCATTGCTACTGACGCTGAATCAAATATGCTCTGATGTGGGCCTTCGAATAATTTCAAGAACACGAAGTATATTAAAATTGGCCGTTACCAAACTAATGACTGTTTGATCTTCTACGCCGAAGCTGTAGAAAAGGTATCAGAACATCAGTAGAGTACATTCGGACATTCGGAAAGAGTACATTGTTTGCATAGCAGACGGATGAAAGACAAACAAAGTTAAGACTCGCTGTGTTGGCATTTGCAGCTAGCAACAAGTTCAACGAACCACCAAAGACAGAGTTGTTTACAAGAATACCAAGCTGATGATGTGCAGGCTTTGGAGTTTGCACGTCTTATTTTGTGACCTAGAGTCTGCACAACTTAACAAGGCTGACAACGGAAAGCTGGGAACGACGGAAATGAAACTATTAATAACAATCTTC